AACGGCCCGCACTGCTTTGGTCGGGGCGCGAAGACAGGGCGCTGGCTGAGTTATAGTTGTAGTTAAGCTCACGTGTAGGCGGGTTAGATCGGTTGGATCAATATCGTTCGAAAACACACAGCAACAAACAATTGAAAGAAGTGCGAAGATAAGAGTTTATTATTCCCACGGCATTATTCCGTGTTACCCAGCCAGAAACGGCGTCGAATCGATGTATAAATGGTCGAATCGACGTCGAGACTGGGTATTCTGGTTCTATCAAGAACCGTGTGGTCGATGTCTTGAGCGAACTCACCTGAGCTCACGCGAGCTTAACTTGACACACCATGGAGTGGTGCCCGCCATCACACGTGGCGGTCTGCAGCCTGCCTGCAGAGCGAGGTCAGCAGCCCTGTGGAGCCTCACGGGCCTCATGTTTGAATGATGCTGGGGGTCTCCGTCTCGGAGCCCTCCTCTCATCAAACGGGACCGCGCTGCACTGCTGCACTCCGGTTTTTGGCAGCGTGTTGTGTACACCGGAAGTGGCATGACAGTGGTACTTCCCTCATCGAGGCGATAACGAAGGTCCTGTAATTGAACTACAAGCTGATGAGATACAGCGATCCCGCGGGGGCAACCGGGGGCAAGGTTATGGTCACTCGCAGCTCTCCCCAAGAGCAGGGACGCACCCGTCGTAGAACGCGTGAACAGGTCTTTCTTTTTTTTTTTTCGCCAATGCTCTGAATGAATACGGCAAAATCGGCAGAGACGAATATTTTTTAAAAAGTAAGGAAACATTGTAATATTAACCTTTGATAATGCTTCAATTCAATAAAGTAAATAAAAACGATACAAAAAAAAATCAACGACACCCAATAGTTGAAAGAGAGCCGTCCCGATCCGTATATGGCGCCACAAGGCGCCACCCCACTTCACCCCGAGAGTCGGATGTTTTCTCTCCCCCCTCCCTGCCGCAGCCGTACGCCCCTACTCAAGTTTGCGAATTACGTTCTCGTGTACAATTCTCGAACACAATTCATTGTTTGCAAGCGAGCGGCAAGCTATCTCCTGTGTGAGTTACGCAATGAATCAGATGGCGTGCGGTATTACTGTTTCGTATTACATATCGAATCTGCCGGTGGTACGTTGAACCCGAAGCCGACGTGCTGTTCGGCCTTGCAGGACTGAGCGGACAGAGCCGCGCGGTCCACGCCCCCGCTGCCGACCAAGTAACCTGAAGCCGCAGACCTACACCGGAGAAGTCTTCCGGATGAGGGTTTACTCCTCCGAAAAGAGAAAGTGCTCAATTTTAACACGATTCTACACTTTCCTTCACACAACAACTGCCTCGGAAAAAATCGCGAAGCGGGTGGTACCGAGGGAAATAACTCTCCCCGTGGTCTTCCCTGCGCGATCTCGCCTGACGCCTCCAGGGTAGGCAACCCATCTAACACGAGACGGAACTCAATGAAGGAGGGCTGTCTGTGAACTCTGTGAACCGAATGATATGAGTATGAGTGATACGGATTTTTAGCACGCCGTATTTTCGCGCCGTCTGATATCGATACATCGAAACTTTACCGCGATACCACGAATGAACGACATTATCGATCGATGTACCCCCTTTTTTTGACGTTTCTTAAGAGTAAAAGTCGTCTGCTAGGTGGCCAGTTATGAAAACATGTGAAATGGTGACATTGACAACTTGTTTACAACACAAGCAGCACCATGGAAAATTTACCTTGTAGTAACAATCAGACTGCAACATCTCCTGATGAGTAGGCCTAGTTCCTACAAATAATGTGTAGAAATTGTGTTCATAACTACATAACAATGGTCTTGCACCAATCTTATCCCACATCTTTTCTAGATTAGCCAATCATCTATACAAACCGATTGAGGCTCATCAATGGCCTATAGTGTATTGTCAAAAGTACAACATAAAATTGTTGGGCATAGAAAAATTTCATCCATTTGATGCCCAGAAATGGGGCCATATCTTTGAGGTAAAATTGACTAAATGCAATCAGAAAACACAAATTTTTGTTCATAAGTCTGTGAAATATTTTAACTCCTTCATAGATATTGAAAACAAAGGGGATGATAAATGAAGAGAATACAGTCCAGCCAAGTAAAGCTCAGACCAAAGACCTGCTTTTGGTCCACAGCAAAGAATACATTAAATCTTTGAAGGTAATTAATGTTGGGTTTTCTCTTCCTTCTCTGAGATGTGTTTGAAATGTTATTTAAATATAAATATAAAATAATGTGTGATATTTCAGTCAAGTTGTACAGTTGCGAGAATAGCGGAAATGTTACCCCTAATAATAATCCCCAATTGCACCCTGCAACGAAGTTTCCTCACCCCAATGAGGTGAAGTTCAGCTCATTTAAATGCTAAGTTTCTATACAATATAAAAAAAAAATTGACTGAAAATTTGAACTGTTTTCATAGATACCAGACAGGAGGATCTATCTTAGCTGGACGTTTGGCGTTAGACCGCGGATGGGCTATCAACCTTGGAGGTGGATTTCACCACTGTTCCAAGAATAGAGGTGGAGGGTTTTGCCCATTTGCTGACATATCATTGTTAATACACTTTTTATTCAAATATGAGAGATCAAGAGTGGAAAAAGTTATGATAGTTGATCTGGATGCGCACCAGGTCTGCTAATAATAATTATAATGATTTTCATAGTCAGAGCACATAAATCTTACTGAGTTTAAAATAATAAATTGTAATCAACAGGGGAATGGTCATGAAAGGGACTTTTGTCATGAGCAAAATGTTTATGTTATGGATGTTTACAACAATCGAATTTACCCAAAAGACCATGAAGCAAAGAGAGGCATAAAACGAAAAATTGAGATTGATCCATTTACTTCTGACTATGAGTATTTAGAATTGGTTGAGATGTAAGAACCTACTGGTAGAAATTTTCAAAGAAAATATTTGCCATACAAAATTTAATCATTTGTATATTACTGAACAGGAACCTAGAAGCTGCATTTCAGGAATTCCGCCCTGACATACTTGTCTACAATGCTGGCACTGATATTTTGGAAGGTGATCGTTTAGGTCTTCTCTCTATTTCTCCCTCAGTAAGTCTCCATCCTCTGAGAAGCAATTTTCCAATCATGTTTCAATACTAATTAAACGCATCTTCAAATTTAGGGAATTATTCGAAGGGACCAAATAGTGTTCATGAAAGCGCGAGAGAGAAGAATTCCAATAGTCATGCTGACTAGTGGAGGCTATCAGCGATGTACAGCTCGAATTATAGCAGAATCAATAATCAATCTCCATGACATTGGGCTCATCAATGGGCCAAAATTATGCTGATGAAAATTGTGAATTAAATATAAATAAAATATTTCTAAAAAATAGTTTTATTTATTTAATACTTTAACTTTTAAAAATATATACAATATTTCAGACAATCCCCCAATAAAACTTTTGTTACCTTTACAGCTTGTTAGAGTTGTGCAAAAACTTTATCATTAGTTTCATTCAGAAAGAGGAGGGCAAAAATATCGTTGTAAAAGCTGGGGTAATACTCACATGCTCTTTTGCAGTCTGGAGTCCAATTAACTTCCAACAATTTTGGTTGTATCTTGTCTTTCCCTCTAGAGCAATGTTGCCAATCTAACATAAGGTCAACTGCATACACTGCTCTTGATTGAGGGCTTGATGCAATACCACAAGGAGGACTCTTCAATGTAGCACATTCAAAAACTTCATGCAACATATCAAATATTTCCTTCTCTACTTCTGCCCAGGAATAGGTGGGATATTGCTTTTCAAATTCAACAATGAATTCACTATGAAGCATTTTGCACAGCTGAGCTTCATTATAGTTCATTACAGTGAAATGCTTTTCATAGTCATGATAGTTTGACAGCTCAAATGGTTTGTTTGCAAAACGGAGAAAAAAGTGGCGGTACGCATACACTTCTAGAGGTTGAACACTTTTAAGCAGTACAACATAACGTAAATCAAATTTGACTCTTCCAATTTCTGGCCTTGAAAATAAGACTGGATTGTGTAAATACTTCTGTGCAATTTTTGGACCAGAAAACGGCAGTCGCAAGATGTAGTTTAGATTGTTTGTGATGTGCATGTCCAAACCTCTTGCAAGGTTCCATGGCTTGCATATCCACAGGTTGTCAAGTCCTTTTTCCTCTCTCTGTTGGAAATAGCTGACAAATTTGGGTAGCTCAGTTTTCAAGTTGAATGTTGTTGGAAGCCAAGGTGGATAAGTTTCCAAAGAATCCTCATCAAATGTTTTCACTCCTTTACAAAGTTTCCTACGACAGACAACACTAAGCAAATCTTTGACAGTGAGAACATGCTCAAATGGAAATTGGTTAATAAATTTGTTAGGACTTGATTGACTGAATTCCTTGAATTTTTTGAAGTGAGTTGTTGTCCAAAGGATATCTGCTTCATTTTCATTGTCAGTGAATATGAAGCGAGGGTGATTAAGGTACTCATGGATATATTTATACTGTGCAAAGACTTTCCACACTATGGAAGTATCACTGATATCAGGAAATTCAGTTGGCTCTAAAGCTGGAAGTGTTTCCGCTTCATGGCCTTCAAGAAAATATTTTGGTAATGGTTCTTCTTGAACAAAACTCAACTCAGTTAATTTAGCTGGGATCCATGGAAGTAAGAGGGCTCTTTTAGAATCCTCATCTTTTTGCAAACATCCTTCAATATAATCTCTTGTGACTTCCTCATTGTATCCCACATCATTGATTGGGAAAAGAATTGAGTAAGTGACTTGCTCCGGACAGAACACAAAAGGAACCAAACGAAAGTTAGGATCAGCTGAATGTTGAATGGCAGATCCAAATTCATCCATGACATACCACACTGGCAGTCTGTCTTCCACATTTACACTATTTCCAACAGAGTATGTCTGACTGTAATTCCACATGTGTTTCAAAACATAATTCATCATTTCTTCTTGAGAGATATCCCCTTCACATCCCATCAACTTTGCCATTCGTTGAAGAAGCAAAGGGACAAGCTGCAAGTGCTCCTGGGCCTGATTTGCCGTAAAAGTCCAGGCATGGTCGACTAAATAGATGTGGTTTGGATCAGAGACCTTAATACCATTCTGAGTGGAAACAAACACACTGAAAAGGGGATCTCCTTCACCGCGTTGCTTGTCCTCATAATCAATCATAAACATAGAAAATTTATCACCAGCATCAAATACTTGATTCACAAGCTTTGAGTAAAGTGCTTCCCACAGATGTGAAGGCACACCAGCGGCATCGAGCTGAGGTTTGTGGAGGGTAAGGAAGTCTTCAAAGGTGAGTGAATCCATGGCGCCTGAAAAGCAAACAAATCATTTTGATTCACAAAACTAAGACCATATCGGCTGTCATAGCAATAGAACACAGCAAACTCATTCCGCTCGTTGAAATGAAACTCTAACCTATGGCATCATGTGCCACCAATTTAAAGTAACAGAAAAACTCATGGTTCAATGATGGACAGTATACACTGCTGGTTTCCAGCTTCAAGAAAAACAATTTCGAGTGAAAATTACCTTGTGAATATGATAGAGATTCTCTTATAATTTTTATTGGCACACTTTTCCTACCGGGGGTCTTTTTGAAACTCTACCGAACCTTAATGGGGGGATTTAATGAATTTGTACAGTAGTTTCCAATCTATGAGAATTTCTACAGGCAAATCATATGTGGTGCGGATCAGGGGAGATTCAGGAATGACGGTCGGTTGACGGTCTGCTGTCATCCCGTGTCAACAACTGTGTTAAGAGTGAAAATTGTTAAGAAAAAGGAACCATTTTTCGGGAATTTGTCTTGGGTCAACTGCCCCTCAGGGCACCGTACATCAATTGAATTTTGGGAAAGAATACAGCTGATTTTGGTCTCATTTTCTCCTTATTATTGATATTCAGGATTGAGGTTAGTAATGTTTACTGTCTATTAATTGTTACTTTTATTATTAAAAAAACGTAATATTTTATGTATTGAACCAATAGATCCCTTAAATCACGCCTTTCGTGTTTTCTAAAATGTAAAAATACTTGTACAACCTTCATCACTGACCTGAATGCATTTAAACAATTTCGTTGACTGTCACTTGAAATACAATTTAACTCAAGTTTCAAATCCAGCTTGTGCTGTTGTCACGTTATGAGCAAAGAGGAGAGAGGTCTTGAAACACGCTCTCTAACTGATTTTTAACAAGTAGTGAAAGCTAGACTTTCATGTATGACCACCCAAAGGATTAGTTATTCTCAAAGTTGACTTTTATTTGCAGAATGACAGTTCATAATTTTTACATGTTTGACCGATATGGCCAGCTCCTGTTTTATGCTGAGTGGAATCGACTTCGACAGTCTGGCATTACAAGAGAGGAGGTACTTGCGTGTGCGCTTTCAAGCTTGGATACACTGTTAAAATTTTGCTTTTCTTATAAAAGTTTTCTATGCACTTTCCCCAGGAAGCAAAGTTGATGTATGGGATGCTATTCTCTATTAAGTCATTTGTGTCAAGAATATCACCACTTGACAATACTTCAGGTTCTAGGGAGGGATTCCACTGCTATAGAACATCAAAATATGCTCTTCATTATATGGAAACTCCAACAGGACTGAAGTTAGTTTTGAACACTGACAATGTTGCAGTTAATGTCCATGAATTACTCAAGCAAATTTATAGCCAAGTAAGTTCGCCTTGAAATTAAGACAAGTCCATTTGTGTATCATCTCTTGTTCTAATTACAAATTCTTTATGTCTAGGTTTATGTTGAATATGTTGTTAAAAATCCTCTCTGTAATTTAAGTGAACCTATCAAGAGTGATTTGTTTGAAGCACAATTAGATGCAGTTGTGAAACAGTCTCATGTATTTACTTCTAAACCAACCTGAACTTCATGAGTAAGTTACTTTGTCACACTATAATGGATAAATTTATAATTATAATAATGTTTTTGTTGTTTTTTAAGTTTCATTGTAAAAAGTATTTGAAATTCCAATAAAGATTTCTTCATAATTTGGAAATTACAACAGCTTTGTATTCATCATTTAGTTGCTCAAAAATAAAATCATCACAAATTAACAGATAAAATTTCAAATTTCAGCTATCATATAGCTAGAATAATCCGTACAAAATCTAGGTTGATCTTCATATCACATATGGTTGGTTGGAACCCAAAAAAGGTATTAGTACAATAACTAACTAATACTTAGGACGACAGGACAGAATGCATGTGTGCAAGTTAAATTTTAAAAAGTATGACTAGAATCTGCACAAAATAACATTTTGAGCACTTCTTATTTCTTATAAATTATCTTCCAGTAATTTGTTGATAACTTTGTAGCTGATACCTGGCAGCATGCAACTGATTGTGAATATCTCTGTTTTCTCTTCTTAAGGTGGAAGCTTCAGAATGAAGCTCTCGAAGTCTTGTTTGGAAACGTGATGTGATTAAATTTGCTTCAGCTTTCCATCTGTAGCAGAAACAAAATGACTTTGATTACAACTATGTGAAGCTCAACAGTACCTTGGATTTTCTTGAGCTCATACTTATTGGCCAGTTCTCTTTGACTGTCAAGCTGCCGCTGAAGCTCATGATACATCTTTCCATTGTCTATCATCCATGGTGGCTGCGTTGGTTTGGAATGCATTTCACAATAACACCTAAAAAGATGAAAAAAAGGACAAACTGTTTAATCTAGTGACGTAGTGAGCTATAAAAGCAGTACATATTTTTTAAAATTTACTGTGCCTTACATCTTAGAAGATGTGTTGGATGAAAGTGCTATTTTAAGTGCATTGATATCTTGATCCTTTTGGAGAAGTGCATCATTGAAGGCATCATTCTTAGCAGCATAGTCGGAGATAAGTTTAGAAGAATTCTCAAGTTCTATTTGTAGGGCATTTACTTGTTCCTCTAAAACATGACGCTCTAAAAGATATTGACGCTGCTCCAACTCACTACTGAAAATACATGTAATAAATGTTAGAGCAGGATCTTTTCAACCTTATCTTACAGCCTTGCTTTATAAAAGTCCATACTTTTGAGTTAATTTTATAATTTCAGCTCTCAACTGCTCTATCTCAAGATCAGCACGTATTGATTCTCCACCAGCAAGTTCTTGAGTTCTAAAGAGTCCCTCCAATTTACGATCAAGAGCAGATAAAGAGGGTCGATCTTTTAGTGCATTATCTAATTCACGTTTTGTTCTAGTTAACTCAGCTTCAAGTGAAGTTAAATCGCTTTTCAACTTCTGTACCTGAGAATTTTTAGTTTTGTTTTCAGTTTGAAGACGTCTCATATCTAGTAACACTGTTTTGATTCTGCTATTGTATTGTTCTTTGATCTGCTCTGCCTCAGCTTGCACTTCCGTTCTAGCTTCTGATATCAACTCAGCTATTGTTGCTCTCAGTTGCTGAGCCTCTTCTATGGGTAAAAAAAAGGTCAGACAATAGAAAAGTGAAGGGCGAAAAAAGAGAACAAGAAGTAGGTTTGACCAGGTATGAAGCTGTACACCTTTATATACCTGATGCTTGAGTTGCCTGTTTTAAAGCATTATCTCTTTCTATTAAAGCTACATCTACTATTTGAAGAGCTTCATCAACTTTCTCGCGAGCCTCAACTTCTCTTGAAAGAACTTCTTCCAATCGAGCTAGACTGCGTTCAAGAGCAGCTTCGAGTTCTGTGCAATTTAATTTGGCTTCTTTTAATTCAGACATAGCCTCTAAATGTCCCTTCTCCAGCTCCTCTACTTTCTTTAGAGCAATTTCTCTGCCTGCGTAAAATAGAGAACCTGATTAGCCATCAATCACTATGATATCTAAATACATTTACTCTACATGGAGCAAGATACAAACTTATAAGAGCTTCGTCAACATCTTTACATCTTTTCTCATAGCGCTCTGATAGCAATTTATAGTTATTTTCCATTTTAGTCAAATTTTCCTCAGCCATTTCACGGGCAGCCTTATCTTTAGCTAACCGAATAGATGCAGTAGATACTTTGTCCTCAAGTAAGGTAATGGCACGAGAATATTCAGAACGAACCTTTGAGGGCAGAAATACAAAAAAAAGAAATAAAGGGGTATTTCAGCAGAACATTTAGATATACTTACTTGGTGACAATTTACCTCATTCACTTTTTCCACAGCTGTGGTCAAGTGAGAGTTATCTCGATAGTCCTTCAATTCATTTTCTAAAGCAGAAATTAGCTGAAGAGATGTTTGCCACATTTCAACGGCTGAATTTTTTTCCTGGGAAACAATTTGGCAGTTGGTTTAGGCCTTTTCAAGAAAAAAAAACCTTTAACCACTACACTGAACAAAACACACCTGAATAGCTGCATCTAGTTGCTGTTTAATATTATTGTTAAGTGACTTCACTTGACTTTCATTTGCACTGTTTTTAGATATCTCAGTTTTCAATTGGTCAGACAATGACTCATTTTCAGATAAAACAGATTCCATCCTAGATCTCAGCGCATCTTGATTGTTCTAGATATGCAAAAATCAAATATTAAACTATTACAAAACATGTATCAGTTTTGTTTTTTCTAAAAATGCAATGCAAACCTGACACTGTTTCAATTGTCCTTGTATAGAATGAAATAAATCTTCATACTCTTGAATGATGGGAGTACCAGTGCTGACAGAAGAATACACTGATTATTATTACCAACACAAAGCAGTGCTTTAACACCAGACGACAACTAGGAAACTTTCAAAATCTACACAAACTTACTCATCTTTGATGTGAGCTTGTGGTGCTTCATGTGTCATATTCTCCACTGTACCTTTCATGTTCGAGAGACCTGTGAGAAAATTGAAAACAATAAATTGAAAACTGTGTTATAGATTTTATGAATTTTCAATGTAAGAAACATGTCTTGATGAGCTTTGACACTTCGTGTCAGCGCGGTGTGTGTCCTGCTGCAGGCGCCAAAAGTACACTGAAATTCCCTCGAAACACTAGACAGAGTTAAAACGACCCTCACCTGGAGCAAGATGTGACTACAGAACAGATTTTAGAGATAAATTGTTTTACAGCATGCTGATACACAGAACCGGACACAGTTTTTCCGGGATTACAATACTTCAGCGGCGGCTCAGTACTGTTTGACTGTTTGTTTGTTTACAAATGTCACACACCGGAAATGACTGAGATCACATAAAACCCGGAAGAAGCAAAAGAGCTACATTTTCACCACCGTTCCAGAAAATGAGGTGCCTCATTTCATTTTGATTTACGTTTGACAGACCTTGTCGGTTATGCGAATTCTGTGATATTTTTGGTAGAATATTTCTGTAGTAGTTTATTTTTGAATACCGATTTATATTTTAACTTAAGGTCGGTGTCTCGTGTAAATACATTTCGTTTTCAGGTAGTGGTCAGCCCTGTATGCGGCCTTTCAGATATTACGCGCGCTTTTCTTTCGGGCGTATGATGATGTTGTTTTGACTGAAAATTTTGTTTGTCTATCGATCGCCAATTTCCAGTTCATCGTTGCAACTCTATTTGCCTGTTTTGTAATTTCGAATCGTGAAGCTCATCACATCACATTTCTTAGTTATGGGCGTAAGTTTCCTGTGGTCTTCGTTCTGTTTTGACATTTTCATGCCGCCACTAACGTGAGATTATGGGGAAACATAACCTTGTTTGCCTTACAGTACACAAGTTTCAAATAGTAACTTTTATCTGTCTGATTCCCATTTAAATATATTCTGAAGAATTTCTTAACACTTTATTATTTCAATACTGTCACTAGCCTCTGGAATTTTCCATGAATTTTATGGCCTCTATTTGTGGTTTCACTGACTATTTGTCTTTGTTTCTTTCGCTGGACCAGAACAAACAGAAAATATCAGGTAAAGACCGTCGAGCAGCTCTACGTGAGGAAAAGAAGAAAGCTTTGGCATCACGAGCTCTAGTGACCAGAGCGAAAGAGAAGGTGGGCAATCAATACACACACTACAGAAGAAAAGAAAGGTAGAGTCTATTAAATTTATATCTTATAATTTTTTAATGTGTTGTTTCCAGCTTGACCCATTAGATGAGGTGTCCGTTTGTTTGAAAATGAGTTTAGCAAACTTTGATGCCATTGTATCATGTTCTCATTGGAACAACCTTGATCCTGAAACAGCTGAGTGGGTCCTAAAACTAGAGGAAACTAATGTCCGAGAAATGTGAGCTATTGCCTTGTTTTTATCTTTTCTACAACACTGCTCTTTGATGCTTGGCAATTTTCATTAAAATTAATGTCTATTAAATTTATTAATCAAAGGTATGAAAAATGCGACTGGGGTTGGAATGGAAAAATGAAGAAAGAAGAAATGACTGATGATGATGCGAGGTATCTTATTGCAAGATCATCAGATGGAAAACGTCTTGGGTTTTCTCATTTTAGATTTGATATGGATTTTGATGATGAAGTTCTGTATTGGTGAGTGTGATCTTGGCCTGTTATGCTGCTAATTGAAGAAGTGTGGTATTAGCTTGTTTCGTCATTTTCATTGAGGTTTCATTTATTTGCTCTCACAGCTATGAACTACAGATTGAAGAACATGCTCGCAGAAAAGGTTTAGGTTGTTTTATGCTCGGAGTTTTAGAAGCCCTAACAGTACACTACAACATGAAAAAGACAATGTTAACTGTTTTTAAGCACAACCACCCTGGAAAGACTTTCTTTAAGAAAAATGGGTAAGCTTGGTAGTCTCATAAATCTTATTCAATTATCAATTTTAATCTAATTAAATTTTTTCTTTCAGATACAAGCCTGATGAAACTTCTCCTGAGGATACAGAAGATGAAATTTTTTGTTATGAAATCCTGAGCAAATACAATCTTCATTTTATTGCACCTGCTGTTTAAGAGATTACTATCCCTCTAATTAACTTTTCTGATTGCTGTTTCCCTGTATTTTAAATACCTGTTTTATTTTCTGCCTGTGATGAAATTCTGTAGCAAGGTCAAATGTCTTTGTTTGGCTATTTTTGTCCTAATTAAGGTTGTGCTGATATTCCTTCATATTCTCTGCCTTTTTAATTGGTTTTTAAAAAGGTGCAAATGGAATTTTTTTTACATCTGCTCTCTTTTGTCGATCTGTAAAACCTATACGCATGTTTAAGTTGGCTGTAAAATATGATTATACTATATTCCACAATTTCCTGTTTGTAGATATGATGAACTGAAATGATTTTTATTTTCACATTTGTGGCTTGGTCTTAGAAGAAGGTGTCTATTTTTGTGTAATTAGTTTGCTTCAGACCCTTATTTGTACTGTGTATGTACTGATACTTTATGTAACAGTTTGCCTTTTACCTTCTGTTTTAAGCTTATCAAAACATTCCTTAATTTTTTATTCAATATTGTGTAGGTATTAATTTTTCCTGTTGTTTCGTGTAATGAACTTGTACAGTACCGGTACTTTGATTTGGATTTATGAATGAACAAAATTTGATAAGATTATAAGTCAAACAAGTTTGTTCCAATTTTTTGTTTTGATTTTGACACTAATGTCATTTTTTATTAATTTTGCAAAACTTGCAGTTGTTTTTTTTGGTGTAAATAATTCATCACATCTGAATACTTTGTGTTTTCTGCTATGTGTATGTCTGACAGGATAGTATGGTCTACAGGTATGCATTTCTCATTGAGAGAAATTTTTTAATTGCTTTTGTAATACTCACTTGATACCTGAATTCTTAGTCCAATGTGGACATAGGCTGTCTCAGCATGCTTGGAAAAGTTGTGCCTTTTCATTATGAATGTGCCACATTTAATTTGAGGGGTAGACTATGGTCTTTATTTATTGTGAAAATGAGGAGGTGAATCAATAAATGTGTCATAAATATGTACTTATTGTGTACAGTGTATTTTGAAGATACTGGTATCACTACAAATGCTTAAGAATTTGAACCGTCTTGCTTAGAGCAGTGCTCTGACCATTCCACCTGACGCGGTCGACATTTGCAAGCCCTCACTGACGCTAGCTCTGTTTGCATCGTAAATTTGATTTAAGCGGGGTACAGTTCAGTCGAAGAGCGCCCAGCTTCGCTCGGAAGAGAAGCATCCTACAACATGAGGGCTAAGGCTGTGAGTTCGATGAATTGGTTGTTTCAGCAGTGGAAGTGCTTAATTTCACGAAATACGATCGGCAGAGCTGCAATGCTCTATTAATTTAGGTCTGACACTTTTCTTTTCCTTCCAGAAGTGTTCCGAAAGCCTCGGTGGCAAGTTTGCTGATAACAGTCCACCGTAGTTGCTTGCTCGCTACCAGACGGTATGTTTGTTTTGACGAGACTGTACTCAATATTCATCTCAGGCCCAAAGACGTGCGCGCGAATGGAACGACAGATAAAAGAGACCCTGCGAGAAACCACGTAGCGCCCGTGTGCCGCCCGCGGAAGCCGGCCAGCTCGGTACGGCTCAGCTCGACTCAGCTGCCCAGCAACTCAGCGTTGCGACGCGAGGCGAGGGCGGCGGCAGGGCGGCGCGGACCTCCAGAAACTTTCTTGTCTTCCCCAAGAGCAGGCTAGCGTCGGGGGGAGAGTTTCCACTGGGGCCTTGAGGTGATATTGGGTAAAATTAAATGGGGCTTATCGGCCAGCCGGTGGAGGAGATTCTAGTGTTTGTGGAAGATTGGGGCGATGTGCCGGGCTCTGCTGCTGCGGTGGCGCGCGGCGGCGGGGCGATGGGGGGCGGGGGAGGAGGCTGTGGGAGAGAGACGCGGGGCGCCGGACCCGCGGGCGCGCGAGTGAGAGGCGAGTGCGCCAAGCGCCGCGCCGCGCCGCGACGCCGCTGCGCACCGCGGGTGGGGCCTGGGGCCCGGGGCCCGGGGCCCCGCTGCTGGGCCGGGGTCGGGTCGGCGGCAGGGCAGGGCAGGGGCATGGCGTAGCGCAGCGCAGCGCAGCCTGGCGGTGCTGCCTCGGCGCGGCGGTGCCGCAGTATAGTCAAGATGTCAGCGGGGACGGGCGCGGACGAGGCGTTGGAGGAGGCGCTGGACACGTTCGTCTTGGAGGGGCCGGAGCGGCCGGCGCCGCCCGACGAGCCGCTCGGAGATGTCATCTTTGCCGCGCTCCGCAGCCACGCCAAGCTGGGCGACAGGAACGCGCAGGTGCGTGCCCCGGGGGAAGTCCCACCGCCGCCACTACTGTGGTCAGCTGCTCCCTGTTCCTCCCTGTGTCCTCCTCACCGTGTGCCCCGCGGAACCCTCGGGGGTCATTCACACGCAGGTGTTGTCAGCCCCGGTGTTTGTCTATGCTCTCCTCCCCCACCACCCGCACCACGCTGTAACGGCCAGATGCGCTGCTGCAGCAGCCAGCATCCTTTTCTGCATGAGCCACTGTTTGTCCAAAGA